CAGGAAAGTCGGTGCCCAAAACGCCGTATGAGTTGTGGATAGAAAGAGTACCCTCACTAAATCACTTGCGTGTGTGTGGGGGAGCCCTGCTGAGGCTAAAGTATTTAACCCAAACATTAGGAAGTTATATCCTAAAACAGTAAGTTGCCATTTGTTTGGCTACATAGAAAAGTCAAAAGGTTTTCGTTTCTACTGTCCAGAGAGACACACAAAGTTTGTGGAAACGAGACACGCTGTTTTCCTAGAGGATGAAAAGATGAGGGGGAGCATGGTAGCTCGAGAAATTCACCTTGAAGTGAAGCGGGTGTTTGCGCCCACTCTAATGATTCATGGGCCATTTTTCTCACTACCTGTTGTCGCTGCACCGACAGTACTAAATACTGTGGTGTTAGCACCTGTTGTTATCCCACCTGTGGCAACAATGAATAACGATGAGGAACCTGTTCTTCAGGATCCTATAAAACTTATTGCCACACATGAGGGGGAGCAACAACAGCCTCAAATAGAAGATGTGCCAAATGTGAAGGCCCCTAGTAGGTCTCAAAAAGTTAGAAAATCAGCTATTATTGCTGATTATGAAGTGTACAACACTAAAGAATTTCAAATGGAGGATGATCCCACCTCATTTGAATAAGCCATGAAAAGTAATCATTCATCAAAGTAGCTTGAGGCCATGGAAGATGAAATGAATCAATAAATGCCAATATAGTTTGGGACTTGGAAATAATTCCTAAAGGAGCCAAAACAGTAGGCTGTAAATGGGTCTACAAAACAAAACTGGGCTCTCAAGGGAATATAGAGACATATAAAGCATGACTTGTGGCAAAAGGCTTTATGCAAAGAGAAGTGATTGATTACAATGAGACATTTTCTCTAGTCTCATGTAAAGTTTTTTTCAGAATCATAATGGTATTAGTGGCACATTACGATTAAGAATTACATCATATGGATGTAAAGACGGCATTTCTTAACAGAGACTTGGATGAAAATATTTACATGGCACAACCGAAAGGTTTTGTCATGGAAGGAAAAGAACGAATGGGATGCCGCCTAAAGAAATCCATTTATGGATTAAAGCAAGCTTCAAGACAGTGGGACTTGAAGTTTGATCAGTCAATAAAGAATTTTGGGTTTTTAAAAGAGAATGTAGAAGACAATTGTGTCTATGCAAAGTTTAAGAATGGGAAGTTTATCTTCCTTGTCCTGTATGTAGATGATATCTTACTTGCTAGTAGTGATGTCAGTCTACTATAGAAGACAAAGAAGTTCTGTCCTCAAAACTTGTTATGAAAAACTTGACGAAGCCTCGTTCGTTCTAGGGATCGAGATTCACCGAGATAGAAGAAAAGGGTATAATGACTGTCACAAAAGGCATACATGGAAAAGATCTTAAAGAAATTCAGTATGCACAAGTGTAGTCCCTCACCTGCTACTATAGTCAAGGGCGACAGATATGGAGATTTTCAATGCCCCAGGAACCAATATGAGCTCAATTGATAAAGTGAAAGTGGTTCCATATGCTTCAGCTGTCGGAAGCTTGCAATATGCTCAAGTATGTATACGCCCTGACTTGGCATTTGTTACCGGGTTTTACTTGATAGATTCCAGAGCAATTCTGGAATAGAACACTGAAATTAGTAAAGAAAATCTTGCATTATTTGCAAGGAACGAAAGGCCTCATGATGACATATAGAAGATCTGATTCACTCCACATAGTGGGATATTCAGATTCTGATTATGCGAGAGTGAATGTATATCCAGACGTGGATTTTCTATCATCTCGCAAAGGAGAGTTATTTCATGGAAAAGAGTTATTTCATGGAAAAGCTCAAAGTAAATTGTCACTACATCATCCACAATGTATGACAGTTTGTAGCATGTTATGAGGCAACGGGCAGGTGAACTAACTAACGAAGTTCATACTCGGTTTGAAGGTGGTTGACGACATCTATAGACCACTAAAGTAATACTGCGATTATAATCTGGCAGTATAGGATGCTCACAACATAAGTCAAGTGGTGCTGCCAAACACATTGACATAGAGTATTATGTTGTGAAAGATAAAGTCCGGGATCAAGTCATAAGTCTTGAGCATATAAGAACAGAAAGGATGCTCGCGGATCCGCTTACAAAAGGCTTACCACCCAACATGTTCAGAGGACATAGTGTTCAGAGAACATGTAGCTAGCTTGGGTTTAAGGAAAAGCCTAAAATATTCCTGAACAAAAGAAGGCCCAAAGATAAGTATCTATTTCAGAACAGAGTAGTGAGTTGTAGCTGTTAAGTCTATCGGCAATGGACCGTGACGATGAGACATGCTCTATGAGCTAATCTGTAATGGAATGAACAAAAGTAAATGATATGAAAGTGAAAGATGGAATGAGATCAAGGGGGAGAATGTTAGTTGATCTCCACCATAGGCTCAACGGCCTATTGGGCCCTTATCTCTGCTCCCTGATCGGGGGAGCCCAACCCTAATCCGGTTGGTGGGCCCCTGTCGCACAGCACACATAAAAGGAAGGTGGGGGTGAGGGCTCGGATAACGAGGTTCGCCGGAGCCGCCACACCACCAAAGAAAACCCTAATCCGATCTAAAGCCAGCGACGGGATGAGCCCGCCACCACCGCCGTCGCTCCCACTGCAGGGCCACCATCAGACCACTGCAGTACCAGCACTGGACTTCACCTCCTCGCCACTACGACGTCTACTACACCAACGGCATCGGCGTCTACGCTTGCCGATGCGCTGCAACAGAGACAGGCAAGGAGCCTAACCGGATCTACGGGTCACAGTGAGGTACACACATTCGATCCTAACAAAGAGAAAACCAAGGCAATTGCATCACTGTCCACGATTCATACATACCCTAACAGATGCTAACCAGATAGAGACTAAAGTATAGCAACACTGTAGTTTGGACATCTGCAGCTCAAGAAGTCTATGGGAGCGGTCCAACAAGATTGTTTGTGCTGTAGGACAGGTTGCACTCTAGCAGTGCAGAAAGGTTGACGAATGATTAGGAAATTTCCCCTTCAAGCTCATTATTGTTCAAGCGCAGTAATTTCAAGGAGCCCAAGTTTCCCAGCTGTGGCGGGATCGGTCCAATGAGATTGTTGTAAGACAGGTCACACTGAGAGAGTCTTTTAAGGTTACCGAATGATGAGGGAATTTCTCCTTGAAGCTCATTATTGTTCAAGTACAGCGTGTCCAGCAACTCCAAATTCCCTAGCTGTGTTGGGATCTCACCTGACAGCATGTTGTGGCTGAGGTTTAGAGTATATTGAAGGTTGTTCAGCTGGCCAAACTCAACCGGGATATGACCTGACAGACGGTTGCCTCCGATCTGCAGGTATGGAGCAGGCAACGCCGGCCCACCCACACGGGTCCGCGCCCGTGCTGGCCCCAGGTAGAGAGGTGGCTGTCCACGTCCAGCAACTTGCGCTTGAACTCCAGAAGGGCCGTCGCGGCGCCGCTCTCCGCCGCCGCCGGCAAGTTAAGAAGAGCTAAGAAGAGGACCGACGCTGGGAGCAAGAACCGCGGCACTCCCGACGCCATTGCCCCAGACGCAGCAAAGAAAGAAAGAACTAGACTCCAACAGCTGGACAGTGGCAGGACGCAGAGTGCTATGGAGTATGGACTGAGCTCGCGCAACCTAGGAAGCCGTCCCCCACCCAACCCAACAGCCACTACCCACTAGGACGGACAGGACGACGACGTTGGTCGCCGCCGCAAGCTTTAAGGCGGCGAGCATTGCGGAGTATGCGGAAATGCACGCGCCACGCCCGGTACCGGGACGGGGTTTCAAAAGCGCTGGGCTGGCATTTCGTCGAAAATATGGTGCGTGGTGAAGGGGTTGACGAAAAGTGAGTCGACGCGTAGACGACTAGCCGAAAAGGCACGCGTGCTGCGTTAGTGTTCTCACGTATATGGATTACCACAGAGAAACGTCTGAGAGTCACCCTCATAGGCTCACAGAGCTACAGGCTTATGGTTACATTGTGGTTAGGTCACTGAAAGCTCACAGAGGAGAGAGGACGACGCATCCAATGACTGACAATACGGTTTCTGCAATGACGATGGAAGCATACGCCGACTGTTTTGTGACATTAGGTCACCGCAAAAGGTATTATCAAGCATGCTGTGATGATCAACAGCATGTCGTCCACATAATTTAGTTAATTAAGGATACTAACACCAAAGTTGCCACGGCTTGTGAAGCACACATCTCCTGTACAAAATTGCATGCAGAGTACAAGACTCGTATCCATGCAAGATGATAGATAGCTTCCCAGCCTGAGAGAGTCAGCTTGTCCTAACGCAAGGCAGATAACCTACAAGGCTGAGAGATAAGATAAGAGAAACATGTTACTAGTAGTGATATTTTGATCTAGAAACAAGCAAATATTTGATGCGGCGGAAATACCTACTGATTGTCATATCCATCCACTTCAATCTACTTCTGCAAGCTTGTGCCCACAAGCTACTCAACAAAGAAGAAAAAAAGAGGTTTATTTTTAGCAGACACCAAACAATATTATTTCACATTTCACAATATAAGAAGAAAAAAGGATATTTCTTTCACAAGCATGGTCTCAATAGAATCTGATTTCACGGTGTTTACCAATGCATTCAGGATGTCAAGTTCCCCTACTGCTGATTGCTTCTATGCTGCTTGTTATCAGAAGTGAAATAAATTTTTATCCGCAATTGCTTGCAGTTTTATTCATCTTTCAAAGACTTATGGAACAAATACAAGTGCACTACTAGGTTCTAGAAGCAGAAAACATGCAACCTCCTTAGTCCTTACTCCTTAACATACATATGGCTAAGGCAAATTAATGCAAACAAACATCTCCAGTGATGGAAAAGCAACAAATCCAGAAGGCATGGCAATCTTAATCATGGGTAACGATACTATATAAAATCCTTTGGGTTGGTTCAAAAATAAACATGCAGTATACACAGTTATTGGTACAATCAACTGCGATCACATTTAAGCATCATGGTTTGTATGGCTGTTATTTATCCAGACACATTATCACCATTGCTGTTACCGTGGAAAAGTCAGTACTTTTAACAGATTGAAAGGTGCAATGCTATCACCACATTGTGATGCTTACAAACCTGTGAAATATGATCTTTAATCTTCCCACTGATGGATTCATCCAATGCCCTCTCGGCAAGCTCATACATCATGAAATGGCCTTCTGGTCCAGCAACTTTCTCCTTCAGCAAGTACCTGCATCAAAGGAACCGATACAGCAATCAAATTCTTTGCAGTGAACTATAGACTCCATAGCATACACCAAACCAACCTTTGCTGCACTAGGTGTTCGAGCGTCTGCTTATTGTTACCAAGAACAGGGTGAGTCTCGTCATTCTCATTCACACCCACCCGCTTCAACTGATGCCAGAGGTCCTCTGAAATGTGATCGAAAGCACTTAGGAACATCAGATGATGATGTTTCCCAACCAAAATACATAATTTGATCTCCTTTCCTTACCTTCGGGCATTTTGCCACCAGCAAGATGAATAGTGCTAATGACAGTGAAAGCAAAGCCAGACAGATGGGCAGCGCCCTTGTCCTCTACATACTTGCTGTACACCTCAGGGTCTAAGTTGCTGATCAGAACATAGCTCTTGGCCTCCACGTTAACTAAAGACATTTCCCACAAATTTCATCAGTCAGTCATTGCCAGCCCGCAACCACTGTGATGACAAATGCAGAGGAAAGGAACAAAAAAATAATAAATGAGAAGAAAGAAAAAGAAGGACGGCCTTACGCTGCGGCTGTGACGGTCGGCCAGAACGCGTGGCTGGCGCACGGGTCCTCTGCAGCTCCCTCATCTCGTAGCCGAAGGTGGCGGCGAGCCTGTCCTTGGCCTCGTTGATGACGAGCGTGGGCAGCGCACGCTGGCGGTAGTTCTTGGTGACGATCCCGGTGAGCTCCTCCCGCTTGATGGGGCAGTCGGAGTTCTGGTGCGTCTTGAAGAGCATGTAGCGCATCACATCCGCCACCAGCTTGTCCTTCTCCTGCAGGACCGGTGGGTCAGACAAACCGTCGAACACCTCGCGGGCGGGCGTTCCGCAGCGCGGAGGGTGGGCTCGTAATGACGTGCGTACCTCCTTGGAGATGTCGATCTGGGCGAGCTCGTCGCTGGTCGCCATCCGGAGGGCGCGGCGAGGGGAGAACTTCGCAGGGCGCGCTCACTGATCCGATGGGAGACGAGAGGGGAACCTTGGGCTGCGCCGCTGCGGGGAAGCGGAGCCGTCGCTTTGGTTGGCGCGAGAACGACTCGGTCGAGGGGGCGTGGAATTTGCGCGCGCGCCTGGGCGGATTTGGCGGTTGGCGCCACCGAAATAGAGGAAGAAGCTAGCTGGGCATGGCTGTCTGTTGGGCCATGTAAGGCCCAGTTTAGAGGCCATTTGGGCTTTGAGAAAGCTGCCTTGTGCTTCTTTTTACTTTTCTTTTCTTCAATTCAAATTCAATAACCATCTCATCTCAAGACGTTTGTCAAAAAAAAAAATCTCATCTCAAGACTGGCAAAATTGAAAATACGAGTTACTAAGTCAAATAGTCGAATCTAGTGAACAGGTTACATCACAAGAAACTAATACACTTTTAATATACTTTGTTAGCAAACCCAATATGATTTGAAAATATAGAGTACTTAGGTTTTGTTTGGTACAACTTCTCTAGCAGTTTCATAAGTTGTTTGTAACTTTTTCTTTACCAATCTGATAATTTTCAAAAAAATTCCACAAGTAGAGTCCCTGAAAATAGGAAAAGAGGAAAAACTAAAGAAACAAGAGAAGGAAATTATGGTTATTTCATTCTTTTTAGCTATCAAAACAGTTTTGCTTCGCTAGTGGAGTCAAAGTAAAAAAATACTGCTCCGCCAGTAAAGTAGAGCTATGACAAACAGGTTCTTATAGCCGAGAGTCAGAAGTGGGACCGCATAAGAAGTGTGAGCCGCTAGATGCAAATCCAACAATTAAGAAATTTTGGTCTTGATCGTGGGTATATTTTTTAGAGCAAGCTTTCGTAGGTGTTCCTCCTTTTCATTAAGTAGAAAGCATGGTTTGAGTTGCAATATACAAGAAACAGGCTCTAGAAACACAAAAATGAGAAAAGGAATTCGACGCTACTACCTAATACTAATACCTACTGGAGTTCAAGGCTTCAAATGATGTCGTTGTTGAAATAGAGGAAGCTAGCTGGGCTTGGCTATATGTTGGGCCATATAAGGCCCAGTTTAGACGCCATTTGGGCTTGGAGAAAGCTGCCTTGTGCTTCTTTTTACTTTTCTTTTCTTTAATTCAATAACCGTCACATCTGAAAATTGGCAACAATGAAAATACGAGTTACTAAGTCGAACAATTGAATCTAGTGGTCAGGTTAACAGGAAACTAATACACTTTTAATATACTTTGTTAGTAAAGCTAATATTTTTTTTAAAATACTGAGTACTTAGGTTCCGTTTTGTATAGCTTCTCTAGCAGTTTTGTAGTTTTCTTATCAATTTGATAATTTCCCTAAAAATCTGGTCTCACAGAGGTGGTAGTCGGATGGAGTTGGAAATACCAACTTCTCCTAGCTCCCTCTCACTCTAGTGGTCATAAGCATCCCGGATGGTTGGATTTGCCCCTAGGCCGAGCAGGGAGGGCACGGTTGACCGGGTCACAGGAGCAAGGCACAGAGAGGGATGGCCGCCAGGTCGCCAGGGGCTAGGCAGGCGCATCGGGGGTCAAGAGGATAAGAAGAGAGAAGATGAAGAAGAAATAGGTAAGGAGGAAAAAAAAGAAAAAAGAAAGAAAGACATTATGGTAATTTCTATAGTTTAGAAAGCGTGTTTGCACAAAGACTACTACGGCACTAGCCCTCAGAAACACACGACACGAAAAAGGCACGGTGATGAACCGTGCGACGCTACCGTAATGTCTAATACCTACTATGTTCAAGACTTCAAATGATGTCGTTGTTGAAATAGAGGAAGCTAGGCGCTTGCCGTGTCGTGCCATGCCGACTCGAGCTTAGTGCCATTTGCCCTTGCACTAAAGCTGGCAAAAACCCTCAATGACTTCGGCCACTTCACGTCGAGGACCCGAATCGAGGGAGAAGATGGAGATTGAGTTACTAAGAGGAGAAGAGGGAACCAGTGGCCACGTTAACGACCCTTTACCCGTCGGAAGACTCCATGGTTAGTAAAGCGCCGAGGATTTGAAAATACAGAGTCTTAGGTTCCATTTTGTATAGCTTCTCGGAGCTAGGGTATATGATTTGCGGCGACAGAGCGGGCGGTTCCAGTGAGCGGGAGAGCCGGAGAGGAGAGAGGCGAGGCTAGGGTTATCAGTTTGGGAATTTTCAAGCGGCGCCAAGGGCAGAGCTTATATACGGACCCGGTCGCCACAGGTGATCAACGGCTCACGCCCGAAATACTGCGATCCTAGCTCCCTCTCACTCTAGCCGTCATAAGCATCCTGGACAGGCCGACCTTTCGATTTGCCCGAGGCCGAGCAGGGAGGGGGCGGGTTGACCGGCACGCACAGCGAGCAAGGCACAGAGAGGCTGGCCATGGATTTTCACACCGAGATCGTGCCAGCCCGTGTAAGGAGGCCCATTTGGAAATTTATAGTCATTTCATTCTTTCTAGCTACCATGGGGAGTTGATTTTTTTTTGCCAAATGTTTTACCAAAATAGTTTTTCTTCACCAGTGGGAAATTTTTTTAGAGCAATCTTGGCAGGTGTTCTGCCTTTTCATTAAGTAGAAAGCAGAGTTTGAGTTACAATATACAAGAAACAGCCTCCAGAAACACAAAAATGAGAAAGGAATTCGACGCTACTACCTAGTAGGCTAGTACCTACTGGAGTTCAGAGCTTCATATAATGTCGTTGTTGAAATAGCTCTGCCCATCTTCGATAGAAGTTGTCACATACGAGTAGTAGGTTTCACAAGAAGGGACTGCATCGCACGGTGCAGCACTAGAGATTGACATAGTGAAGCCAGGAGAAGAAATTTTACACTGTCCATGACCAGAAAATGGATGAACCAAGCGCAGAATTTCACGAAGTTGTCGTGTCAGACGGCGTCTACTCCCAAAATGTACTGCCTAGTGCTCTCGAGCAAACAGCCTCAGACGCCAGCGTTCTTGCCACTCTCCTTGCCGTTGCCATCTATGTCGGCGTCGGCGTCGGCGTGGCGTCGTGGGGCCCAGAACCTGAGCCTGAGCTCGCGGCGCTCGAGCATCTTCTCCACCTCCTCGATGGGGAGCCCCTTGGTCTCCGGCACGCAGACGAGCACGAAGGCGAGCGCGGCCACGGACAGGCCCCCGAAGATGAGGAACGTCCACGACGTCCCGATGGCCTCCGTGAGCGACAGGAACGACTGCGCCACGGCCAGGTTGGAGACCCAGTTGGCGGTGGCCGCCGCGCCGCCGCACACGCCGCGGTACCGCAGCGGGTAGATCTCCGAGTTGACGATCCACGGCACGGTGCCCATGCCGGGGGAGAAGAAGATGATGTAGAGCGCCAGCCCCAGCAGCGCCAGCCAGCCGTACCGGCTCGGGCACCCGCGGGTGTACCACAGCCGGCCCTCGCCGTGGCACGCGTCGCGTACCGTGTTGTTGGACACCAGGCACGCGCCCGGGAGGAGCCTGCTGGCGCCCGACGCGCAGAAGCCGCACTCGCTCGAACCCGCCGCCTTGAGGCACCGGGTGCAGTCCCAGAATCCCCCACCGCCGGCCGACGAGGAAGAGGAGCGGTAGGATGGGCACGTCAGCGAGCCGTCGAAGTGCGCGGTCTCTGCGGCGCTGACGGCCGGGGAGTGGGACGTGGTCTCGTGGAACACGGCGGTGAGCACGCCGAGCGATAGGATGACGCCCACGAGGCTGATGACCAGCAGCTTCTTCCGGCCCGTGCGGTCGATGAAGTAGATGCTGACGATGGAGCCGAGCGCGTTGAGGCCGGAGGTGACGAGCGACAGCGCCAGCGCCGTCTGGTTGGACGCGAACCCGGCCAGCTGCACGATCGTGGGGCTGTAGTACATCACCGTGTTGATGCCCACCAGCTGCTGGAACACCTGCAGCCCCACGCCGGCGACCAGCCCCCGCCGCACCGTCGCCGTCCGCACCAGCGCCGCCAGGTTCACCTTCTCCGACGACCCCCGCTCCCGCACCTCCGCCGCCACCGACTCCTTCAGCTCCCCAATCTCCCGCTCCACCTCCTCCGCCGAGTAGATCCGCCGCAGGATCGCCTCTGCTTCTTCCGCCCTCCCCTGTTTCATTACAATTCGTAGCAAAAAAATTGCATTTTTATTCTTTTCTCGACGGAGAGAAGAAAAGAAGAGAAGGCGAATGGGACCTAGTACAGTACCCCTACCTTTCTGTAGAGCCACCGGGGGGATTCAGGGAGGGCGAGCATGAGGCCGAACTGGACGACGGCGGGGAGCGCGGCGACGCCGAGCATCCACCTCCACGTCCCGGGCGCCTTGGTGAAGGCGAGGTTGATGAGGTAGGCCAGGAACTGGCCGCCGGTGATGAGGAAGGCGTTGGTGCTGACGAGCGCGCCGCGGATCCTGGCGGGCGACGCCTCGGAGATGTAGAGCGGGGAGGTCATGGAGGCCATGCCGACGCCGAGGCCGACGAAGACGCGGCCCACCACCAGCTGCGCGGGGCCCGTGGCCGACGCCATCACCACCGCGCCCACGAAGAAGAGGAAGTCGGCCACCAGGATCGACGTCCGCCGCCCGAACCGGTCCGTCGTCCACCCGCCGATCGCCGCGCCGATGATCGCGCCGGCCACCGCCATGCTCACGATCATTTCCTGCGGCCGCCGACACCGATTCTCAGTCAGCAGTACGATTCGCAACGGGATTGATTTTTTTTCTTGGATCTTCTTACCTGAAGCCATGTGTTCCTGTCCACTGAAACGAAGTCGTCGCGGATGTAAAGCAGAGCTCCCGAAATGACACCTGCACTCACACACAACACAGACACAGAAGCAGAGCTCACGTCACTGGTCACATGCTCACTCACACACGATCTTGTCGAACATTTTTCCTGCAGATACTACTACTGAAATTTAAAACTGTTCGGCCACCAGTAACCACCATCTAGTTGGACACAATCATCATCCGAACTCCTAAAAGGTCTCGAAGTGGATTTTACA